GAACTTTATTAAGGGGTCATGGCATTAGGAAGGCTGAGAACTGCTGTACTAAATCATAGGAAGGTATATAGAGGCCAGATCAGGAAAATATTGGAGCCCATTCTAAGTAATTAAGACTTTATGTGATGGAAAACTGGAAATCTCTGAGTGATTCAAGATCTGGCAATAAACAGGACTAGGTTGGAGAAAAGATTATTGAGGTAGCTTCCTAGAGATGTGAATTAAGGCAGAGGCAACAGGGACAGAATAAAGGAAGTACATGTGAAAAAGACCTCAGGAGGAAGAGTGTACATGATGTGACTGATTAGATTAGGGAATGAAGGTGTGTCAGGAATTCTTTTAACTGCAAGTAACAAAAAATCTTAATGTAGAGTAGCTTAAACAAAGAGGAATTAATTTTTCTCCCATGACAAGAAGTCTAGACTGAGACAACCACTGCCTTTGATTCAGTGATTCAACAATATCAAGGTTGATGTCTGTGATTCTCTTGGTCTTTCCTTAAAATCTATCACTTCATGGTCACAAAATGGCTGCCGCCTCTCCAGATATCTTGTCTGTGTTCAGGGTCAGTAGGAGGAAATAAGAAAGACAGGGTCTGTTCTTTTTAATAAGAAAATAAAAATATTTGCAAAGCCACTTGCAAACTTCTACTTATTGGTCAGAACTGTGTCGCACAGCCATTTGTAGCCAAAAAACAGTGCAAGACAGTGTTTGTTATTAACATCTCCCTAGCAGAGAAAGAGGTTGGGAGTTGGTGTTGAGCTCTCCAACTTACAGTATCTGCAAGGAAGGAAGGAATAAACTAGAATGATCCTGGCTTGAGTGAATGGGGAGATACTGGCACCATTCCCTAGGATAGAAAAGACATGAGAAAAACCAACTTTGGAATGGGAAGAACATTGTGGTGGATTGTCTACTGCAATTGTATACATGACCCCTTGCTGTGTGACTCTGCTGCTCCTGCCATCAAGAAGAGAATTTATTTCTCCACCCTTTGAATTGGGACTTGGCTGTGTGTCTTGCTTTGGCCAATGGGGCATTATTAGCAAGGGTGATTCAAGCAGAGCCTTGAAAAGTACTTGCACATTGAGGCTTGCTCTCTTTTGGCCAGAGTTGGAACATTGAGAAAATGATGTGCATAAGCCTGGCGAGCTATATAGAGAAGAACTGAAGTGCCCCAGCCAGGAGCCAGCACCTCTACCGGATATGCGAGTGAGGCCATTTTAAACAATTGAGCCCCAGATGAACCACCAGATGACTGCAGCTGCGTGAGTGAACTCCAGTGAGATCAGAACTGCTCCAGTAGAACTGAGTCCAGTCTCAGTAGAACTGAGTCCAGTCCAAATTGCTCCTCATAGAATTGTGAGAAAATCAGTATCCTGGTGGAAATGTCCAGGAGCTAACTGAACTTTTTGATCTGAAGCTGGAGATAAAGATTTGGGACTTATTAGAACATAGGGAGTATTTGAAGTTGTGGAAAGGGACGAGCTTGCCTTGGAGCAATCTCAGGAATGCCAATGAGAGGCAGAAAGTAAAATGGAAAAGGAGTAGGCATAGAGCTTGTAGAGGGCATAAGAGGAATTTCCAGAAGAGGAAAAGTATCAACAATGTCATGTGCCAAGAAGTGTTAGGAAAGATGAAAACTGAAAAAAGAACATTGGATTTGGCAATTTGTAGGTCATCACGGATTTTGGCCACAGCAGTTTCAGTAGACAATAGAGGCCAGAAGTCAGGTTGCAATATGATGTAATCCTATTATAATGGGTTGAAGAGTAAGTGGGAGGTAGGGAAGTAGACCATTTTTCCTAGGAGTTTGGGCTGTGTAAGCAAATAGAGAGAGGGTGGTTGGTAGCTAGATAAAAGCACATGGCCAATGGAGGTCTGAGCCTTATTTTTTTCTTTTAAATAAGGGAGGCTTGAAAATGTTTAGAAAGTGTTGGGACAGAGAAAATAATAAGAAAAATCATAATAATCACTGGGGGTTGGTTCCTGAAAAGCAGGATTTATTTTAACAAGGAAAATGGCACCATAGGGGGCCGGCCGAGTGGCTCAGTTGGTTAAGAGCTCGCTCAAGAGTTTGAGCTCTGAGCAACAGCGGTTCGAGTCCAGCCCAAGCTGAGCTGCCNATGTAATCACAAGGGTCATTATAAGAGGGAGGCAGGAGGGTCAAATCAGAGAAGGAGATGTGACGATGGAAGAAGAGGTGAGAGGGAGAGAGAGAGAGAGAGAGAGAGGGAGAGAGAGAGAGAGAGAGAGAGAGAGAGAGAGAGAGAGAGGCTATGCTGCTGGATTTGAAGATAGAGGAAAGGGTCACAAGCCAAGGAATGCAGGCAGCCTTGTGACGCTAAAAAAGGCAAGGAAACAGATTTTTCCCTAGAGCCTCCAGAAGGAATGCAGTCCTGCTGATCCATTTTAGATTTCTGACATCCAAAACTATCAGAAAATTAATTAAAAAATTTTAAGCCAGTAAATTTTTAGTAATTTGTTATAGCAGCAATAGGAAACTAATACAAACACATTATTTTTGTAGTTGTTAGCTTCAGAAAATACCAGGGGTGCCAAAAAATGTGTACATATGACTTGCATTCATCTTTTGTTATCAGTATACGTTGAGTATTACAATTTTAATACAGTTTTTTCCTTACTTAAGATGTGTATACATTTTTTTCACAACATCTGTATACGAGGCTTTCGGTGAGAGCTGTTTGGGGAAGAATTTCTAAAAAACTTTATGGTCTGAGATTGGATCAATGTGACAGTGGTTAAATGAAGTCCTGGACAGTGACTTCTGGAGCAACACATGAAACGATGGAGATCAAAATCCAAGATTATTGTTCTAAAGTCAAATTTCTGTCTGCTTAGGACATAACAACTCACATGGAGTATAACATAAATATGTTGCATTTGACACTTGAACTGGTTAAGTTTGTTATGACAGACATGGATTGTATTTATGCAAATCAAAATATGCTCAAAACTTGTCCAGGAATTCAGGATGTATGAAAGAGTGATGAATGCCAAGTGTTGATAGACTATTCAGATCTCATGAGTCATATTGTGGAGTTGGGCACACCTAAAGGTTACAATTACCTATAACTAAAAAAAGAAATAATTTATTTTTTTATATCTGTGTCAGGGTATATAAATAACAAGATTCTCTTGAGAAATGTCTGCATCATATCTTCATTTGCCCTTTCAGATTTTCTTGCTGCCCTTCTCCACCCTGCTCTGTGCCCTGGGTGGCTGGCCTAATGTGGGCTGATTCAGTAGGCTCCCTGGGCTCTCTGGGTTTCCTGGCCTTCTGTCTTGAGAGTTTGGCAAACACAGAGCCCATGCAGGTGACCAAAGGGAGTAAGAAGGGTGAGGTAGGAGTATATGTTTTTCCAGCTTCTTCCTAAATAAGCTACTACTCAAATCCTTGATTCAGGGTCTGTTCTGGGAGAAGCCAATTGAAGACAGCATGATATCTGGGATCTGCCCTCATCATCAGGAGCGGCCTCCACAACCTTGCTTGTACCAACCATGGCTGACTGGACCCAAACTGCACCTATCAGATTCTCTTTTCTGTAGTCTTGTAATAGAACAGAGGGGATGTCGATCAGTGTGGTCATAGTGTATCACAATGTGTAAGAGAAGCCAGAAAACCAGTCTGCAGGATGGCACACGAGAGATGTAAGAGTGGGGCAGGAGAGAGAGAGAGAGAGAGAGAGAGAGAGAGAGAGAGAGAGAGAGAGAGAGAGAGAATTGACCAGAGAATCAGGGAGATGACTTCCTGTTCCAGGCTCCCTGTCTTCCTAAAGCCCTCCTACATCCAGTTCCTGGCCTGTGAACTTTGCATTCCCCCTTGTCTCCCAAGCTAGCTCAAGTAACATCTGTAACATAAGATCAAAGAGTCAATTAATCCAGAAAAGCCTCATAAAATTACACTTACACTCTCAGTGAGCCAGAAACTTCTGCTTTACTGCCCTCCCTGTGAGAATTTCCTTCTTGCAGCCCTGAAAGCACAATGATGGTTTATTTCCCCACAGGTGAATGAACAAGTCTTCAGCTACTCTCTGACATTCACAAAACCTGGCTGCCACATAGAGTAAGGTGTTTGTGGTCTAAGATAACCCGAATGGAACAATTTATTCCCTAATTACTCTAGCTGGAGTAGTATAAGGTCACCAAGCTGCCCCAGATTTACAGATATGTGGCAATAGGAGGGACTCAAAGGAAGTCAAATATGCATGAGCAGAAACAGACTGTGACGCCAATTCTGCAAGCTCCCCAGCTCCTATTTGCTGCCTTTCAGGGTTCTGAATCTTCAGCTTCCCTGTCTTTATTGGGCCACCCGAATGTGTGGGTGTTCATATGCACCTTCTCATGTGATTCTGTTACTGGGGCACAGCAGTGCCCTAACCTAAAGTATCCTCTTGTTATCAGCCTGCTGCAATTCATTAAATTCTCATTATTGAGTCATGCTTTTGGTTAAGATATAATTTCCAGAATGTCACTGTGCAAGCACAGATGTACTGTAAAAGCACAGAAAAAAGACTGGAAATAGTCATAACAGACTGGGCTCTGCTACTTTGGGTGGGCCATGGAGCAGCTCAGTGACCTCAGGCTTGGTGGCCGAAATCCTCACTGCCACCCCCACCTCCACAGACATCCATTCACAGACCTCTCCTGCTGAAGTCCTGCCCCTTCCTAGGAAATCTTGTGGGGGGCAGGGGCTGGATCCATTTTCCTTTTCTTCTCCCAGCGGGAGGGTGGGATGAGTGTGTCCAGGATGTGGAATCCAGCATCACCTTCCACCTGCTCCTGGAAAAAGAAAATCTCTTTCTCTTTCCTTTCTCGGACAATTGATGTAATCCCCATTATGGGCCACACTTCCTAAACAAATACCTGAGACTGGGGAATGTCTTCAGCTCCTACCTTCCTGGTCAGAGGAATGCAGAAAACTTGTTGCTGTAGGCTAGGGTGGCAGGAGGAAGATTTCTTTTTATGCTTCCTGGTGATGAGAAAGAAGGTACAGAAAGGGATTGGAGAAGGAAGTATCAAAGGACATCAGGCTCTGTTGCAATTAGATTCATTTGTTGAATAAAATATCTGAGTGCCTACATTAGGATTCAAAAATACCAAAAACAGAGTCCTGCTTTTATGAAACTTAGAGAGTAATGAAAAAGATGAATAGAGATCAAATAGTCACTCCAAGATAGTGGTTCTCACCAAGGAGCCACTTTGCTTTCCAAGGGACATTTGGGAATTCGGGAGACATTTTTGTCACAACTGAAATGTTGTTAGTGGTATCTATTGAGTAAATGACAAGGATGCTACTAAACATCCTATAATGTGCGAACAACTCTTCCTCAGTAAAGAATTATCTGGCCCAGGATGGCAATAGTGCCAATCCTGCACTGAGTCAGTTGTTCTCAAACTGTGGTCCCTGGCAAACAGCATCAGCATCTCCTAAATTCTTAGACCCTCCCCTAAACCTACCAAATCAGAAGTTCTGGGGGGTAGAAGCCAGTGTTATGTGTTTGAACAAGCATCCAGGGGATTGTGATGCACACTAATGTTTTAGAACCACTGAATTAAGGAATGAAGTGATCTATGATGACAAATGGAGGCAAACGTGTTGATGAAAAATAACTTTACCGATGCTATTAAAAAAATGGTTTGCCCACTATTGGAAGCACCAGCATCATCAGAGAGCTTGTTAGAAATGCAAATTCCTGGGTCCTACCTTTGACCTACTAAATCGGTGGTTCTCAACCTGTGGGTCGTGACCCCTTTGGGGGTCAAACCACTCTTTCACAGGGGTAGCCTAAGACCATCAGAAAACAAAAAGATATTTACATTACAATTCATAACAGTAGCAAAATTACAGTTATAGAGTAGCAATGAAAATAATTTTATGG